AATTTTTCTTTTCCTGGTCACTATTTGCAATCTTATCTTCTATATCTGAAATTCTGTCCTCACATTGGCTCATTCTGCTCTGTAGACTTTCAGTGGAGTTTTTAATCTGGAAATCTGTTTGCATCTGTTTTATGGATTCCATTTGTTTCCCATGTTGGGATTTCATCATGTTCCTCAGATCCTCTATTTTTTTTTTAAATCTGTATCCTCTCTAGATTTCTTAATCATGTCTTGCACTATGGGCACAATCTCTGTTGTTATCTGAGAAATTAATTCAGATTCCATTTTTTTTCAGATCCTCTTTTGTTGCCAGTTCAGGGAGTCCAGGTGGTTGAGTATTAGATTGTTCCATCTCATTTCCCTTTGTGGTTGCTTTAGGTGATTTGGAAGTTTGGTTTTGAGACTTGTTTATGTGTCTTCTCATTTCAATGCATTGGGGGTTGTGTGCTGCTGGCACCCACATGACTCACCTCCTTGGTGCTGGGGGCAGTGGTATGCTGGCTCGAAAGGCTCAGCTACTTGGCACTGGGGGCCTCTGTTCCTTGGCCATGACACCACTAGTACTCAAGTTGTGGTAAAGCCGAACAGCTCCATGTTATAGCTCAGTGTTACCACTCTCAGGCACAGCCAAATGTTACAGATCAGTGTAACAGCTGAGTGGCACAGATTTGAGGCACAGCTCAGTGCTACAGCTCAGCATCAGCATCACAGCTATTGCAATTTGAAGACTCCAGAATCTGAAGGTCACTCAAATAAGTAGGTGGGCTCAGTGGAGTTCATACTGTACTCCAAAGTCTGTGAGTCATTATTACCACTACTAATGTCACATGCCACAGGAGCTGGCACTGTCCATTAGGTTGTCAAGCTTGATATAAAATAATTTTTCATTTAAGTAGATTTCTCTTTTAAAGAAAATTGAAATAACTATCAATTATAAAAGTGACAGCAGTGTACCTGCTTCTTTCTCAGCAGCAGTTATTTAAATATTTATTATATTAAACATTCAGCTTCTAAAAAGAGGTAGAAATTAAGTTTGAGGGGTTTGGTCTAACATATGAAACTAATGAGAACAATAAAGTGTACCAATTCTTCTGAAAATATTGAACAATTTTATGCATATAAGCTTTATTGAAACCATTAGTTCTATCTAATCTGATAAAGCTAAGTGACTTGACGTAATTTTTAAAAAAATTTATATATTTGTATATAGCTAAATAAGGTTCTTAAATATCATATGAGCACTATGGTGACTTACTATATTCCTAGGAGTTTTAAAATAAGTATTGTGTAAAACAAGAGCTTATTAAGTAGTGGTGTGGAAAAGGCAGAGATTTAGGAATCATCTTTACACTGGTTAAAAAATTGTTTCCCCATTAACAAGATTTTGATACTAACCATCCGGAGAATTCCTTGTTTCAGACACTGCAATCTGGTTTCTGTCCAGGTCAGTAATATTATAAAGATCATCAAATTCCCCCCAGCATGTCATTCTCCTGAAAAGAAACAAATCTTGGAAATTATATGGCAGATTTCAAATTTACAATATTAAGTATAGTACATGTAAACATTGTAGGTAGACATATTATCCAGATTTATACAATTTTATGATATTATTAAAATTATATACATACTGGAGCAATCAGTATGTGATTTAGATACTTCCTGTACTTTTGGGGGAATATATCTTGACATCTTAACATAGTAATTTGTCTAATTTGAAACACAAGGGCCAGGGATTTAGTTCAGTGGTTTTGCTGCCTACTGTGCAAGTGCAAGGACCTGAGTTCGATCCCCAGTACCAAAAAAAAAAAAAAATTAAATAAATTATTTGAAACACAAAGTTATATAAAGTCTATAAAATGTATATATGAATGAGTTGGTAGGAACCACTATGATCTATTTATTTAAAGACATCACACAATATCCTTGGGAGAGTTTAGTCATAAATGTTCAGTCCACTAATATGTGGTGAGTACATATTGTAGGAAGTGTTATTAGGGGAAGTGGCTCCAAAATAAGATACTCTACCTATTTTTAATGCCCCTAATGAATGAAGTTTACAAAACAGGAAAAAATAGGAGAAACTTCTATGCTTGAAAATTGTGATTTTTGTAAAGAATTCTAGCAATTTTTAATACATACTAGTGCGTAGAATATGTAAAACCAGACAACTGCTTATTTTTATAGCAGGCTAACACTCATTTTTATTTTATCTAGTCTAAAATGAGTTACATATCTTCTCTTGGTTTCATTGTCCACATCTGCAAAACAGGAATGAAAATGAGATCGGATAGGGCTGTTGTAAGGATTAAATGAGTTCATTCATGTAAAAAAAATCTTCAAATAGTGCTCTGAACATAGTAAGCACTCAGTATATTTCATAAAAATTATCATGATTGTTCTTAACTTCACTGTCATGACAGTAATCTCATCATATGTATCCATTTCATGATTGGCTCCATTGGGGATTTCACTCATTCTTGGATCTTTCTAGACAAATGAATGCTATTTATGGGAACAGTCAGCTCCACTAGGTCTCTTCCATAAGAACTGTTTTTTTTTGGTATCAGGAATTGAACTGATGACCTTGTGCTTGCAAGGCAAGCACAGCGCCACTGAGCTAGATCCCAGCCCCATAAGAGCTGTTTTATGACCAAAAAAGTCATCCATAGGAAATTTTGGTATTAACTCTATTTAAATGTCCTTATGTTAAAAATGTTTATTCATACTACTAAGTGGTGAATTTGAAAAAAATCATCCTTTTTCCCTTGACCTTTGAATTTTTTTGAACTCTTTTATAGCTATTATATTATTTGTTCCTCACAATAACCATAAGAAATAGATAACATAATCCTAATATATTTGTTAAGAAAATTTCCAGCAAGCTCTATTATGCAGCTAAAATAAATAGCATAAACTCCGAGAACTATGTTTAATGGCTTAACTCAAAAAACTCCTCAGACCCTAGTATTCTTATGGTATGTAAAATTATTAATTTCCCCTAATCCATAACCAATTAATAATCAAAAGGGGCCAGGTTTAATGATCACAAGAGAGGGTTAACAATGACAGAAAAGACAAATACCAGTTACAAGCAGAAATGAAACATACAAAGCACCTTGATGCTACTTCATCTGGGCAACATTCACTGCTGTGAGTGGGGGCCAGTGGTACACAGCACAAGTTCTTGGTGATGCCGGCAAACTGGACAGACATCCTCCTCAGTTTCTTATAGTTTAGTGGCACTATACAAGCACAAGTGATCAAACAAGGCCAGGACAGTCAGTGTTTGGTCTCTTATACCATCCACAGCTGAGGAAACTACTTTTGAGCTCTGGACTGTGTGATGTGAGGGCTACTCCATACCACTCTGCACATTATTAGTCTCAAGGGAAGTTACCAGAGTTTTCAAGAGAGAACTGGTTGGAACTTTAATATCAAATTAGTTTAACTTCTTCAAATATAGGACTGTTTGTGTTGGTCTGACCAACCTTCAGGGTATGTACTACTTGCAAATTTAAACCCCAACACGGATTCTGATTTGCAAAACAAAATAGAGGTAGAAATTTGATAGACAAATACAATGCAGCCACTTCCCTACCCATATTGTAAGAAAATATAGTCCTGAAGATCTTTAAATGTATACCTGTTCATTCATTACTCTTTATCTCATTCATCCAACTTGTCTTAATCACTTTGTCACTAGGACAAAATACTTGACACCCACAGCTTACAAGAGGACAGGTTTATTTTGGCTCATAGTTTGTAGAGGTTTCAGTCCACAGTCAGCTGGCTCCAAGGCAGGGCAGTGCAGCAGAGGAAACCTGCTTACCTCATGGCAGCAGGGAAACAGAGAGTCAAGGGAGGAGCCAGGGAGAGAGAAACACCCTTCTGGATTGAGCCCACAGTGACCTGCTTCTTGTGACCAGAACCCACCTCCTCAAAGCAAATCACTTATAGGCCCACATGACCCAATCATCTTCCAAACTCTTGAGGCTTTGGGGGCCAATTTAGACCTAAACCATAACATTTGTCTAAAGTATGACAATGCTGACTTTGGAAATATCCTAGACATAGAACTGAAAAATAGTGCAAGCAAAAATAACTAGAGTGTAGCTGGGATTTTCCCCCTTTTTAAATAAAAAAGTTTCAAAAAGAAAACACTTGGCCCAGTATCAGAGACCAAAATACTATCCATAGAGTTATCTGAACAAAGAATGGCAAATGGTTTTGGCTCAAATGAACTGATGTATTTTTGAAGCTTCTACAACTCCCATTCAGCTGATACCTCCTCAGTGTGAATCATTTCTAGCATAATTAAATAAACTAGCATGACAAGACTGTCTCAAAGATTTTTTCAAAGGGTGGTCTAAAAGATACGGCTCAGCCCTTCTGTCACAGAGTACACAATGTCTCCATCCTTGACAGCACAGTGCCTCTGCAGACAAGAGAACAAGTGTTAAATTCTGCCCACAGGGGGCAAAAGTATGGGGAACAGAGCATGGGAGCTGTTTAGAGTGTGTATATAGTCAATTTCTTTATACAGTTTAACAGAGGTTGGGTCTGGGGATTTAGCTCAGTGGCACTGCGCCTGCCTGGGAAGTGCAAGGTCCTGAGTTTGATCCCCGGGACTGGAACAACAACAACAAAAAACAATTTAATAGAGGCTCAGAATTTAAATGAGTCACCTTAAGGGTCATAACCAGAGTATGATGTCTAATACTGGATTGAAACAAATACTACCTTAGATGGCTATGCATCCCATTAGAGAACCAGAGGTCAGACAAAATCCACTCCAAATTATATTGTACCTTCCCACCTGAATGTTCAGCTGTCTCTCGCCAAGTACTGCTGAATAACTATCACAACCAAATTGAATCTTGTTTGTGAGTGTGTGTTGCGTATCTGTCTGTGTATCTGTGTATATGTATAAGAAGTGAGAATTTTTTCTTTCAATTCTTGCCAAGTAGAAAGATCTGATACACTGCACAAGTACAGCTCAAATATTCTCTTAGCAAGTCTTCTTACTATGGTAAAGGGCAGGCTGATACAATTTTATAGGTAATTATTTCTTAACTTTTAAACAATAAGAGATAACTCCTGTTTATTTCCCAGAAATTTCTGATCAACAAGGAGAGATGCAAATAGGTTTAATAGAAGGTGCATCATGAGGATAATTTTTATTATCTGCTGCAGCATATGGAGAGGCATCAATATTACCTTGTCCACCTGGGCTCTTGAAATTCATCCCAAAATTCAGGATTGATGGAAATAAATTGACTTTGAGAAATAAAAAAATGTGTGGATAGCCATACAGAATAATGATGGCTTGATATGATATCAGTTTTTTCTAACTCTTAGACATCTCCCTTTAACCCTCAACATTTATTAAATTTTCACAAATCAGTAAGTTAAGATGCATCAGAAAAGGTTGCTGCTCACAGAACTTTGCCACGAGTTCTTAGATAATTTGAAGTATAACTAAGTTTGTGAATTTGTATCCTATACTTTAAAAAGCAGGGTACATGGCAACTAGTCTTTTGAAATGATGCTCCTTGAATTTAAATCATTAGCCACATCAGTCATGTAGTACCTGAAAGGAATGCAGGCAGGGCTTCACCAGGCTGCCTAAGACTATGGCTTCCCTTCTGCTCTTTCTTAAGTACTGGACCCTATGCCCATTAACAATCCTTACTTTGAATGGAAGCCTAGTCAGAGTGACAGAAAGATGGTTGTCACAAAAAGCAGAAGTATTTTAACCTCAGGTTTTGGGTACCTCACTTGATAATATACTTCTAGCCCCTATATGTCCTGGCCACTGGGATGCAAAGATGATTCAAGTGTGTTTCAAGTGGAGGGTCACACTGTAGAGGGGTGATAAAACCCAAAATGAGGTGCATACTCTGGAGGTGATATACAAAGGTTGTCAGTGTAGTTAGTATGGACTGAGGGCTCATAAAAGCCTTTCAGGAGAATGTGTTACCTGACTTGAGACTTAAAGGATTGGTTAGAAGAGAGTCAGGTAAATTGTCTAGAAGCAGGTGAACTTCCTGGCAGAGTCAGGTAAGTAAGAAACTCCAGGATGGATTTAGGGAATTGCAAAATGCTTAGCATTGCTGGAACATAAAGTTTGAGAAATACTGGCAAGGTAAAAATCATAGTGGGGCTTAAATATTTTCTCCAAGGAAAAGCAGACTTCCCTTAAGGAGATACCTGGATTTCCTTAGCTGTGGCTAAAGATCTGGTTGGGTTGCTCTGTCTCCATCCATTCTCTGAAAGACCAAACTCATCCAATAATGGAAGGGAAAAGGGTAAGAAGAGGAGGCTTGAGTATCTCAAAGCATGTGCACAGGGAGATGAATTGGAAAGCTAAGGATCAAAAAGGAGGAAAGGAAAGGAGAAAGAAAGAAAGAAGTTTTATAAATATGATTCTTGCTGGCAATATTTACTAACTTTTCTGAAAATTGTTAAGGAGTAACTAAAAAATCAGCTCAACTTGGATATTCAGGAACAGCTGCATAACCTATGCAGGGAGCTGTTCTGTGCACTGAAATTCAAATGCACAGTGCTGTGTCACTCTCATAGGAGCAGGACAATCAGGTAGAGCATAATGATGTCTCTTTTCTAGAAGTAGGGACAGTCCTTGGTTCCAAGTAAAGGGGAAATTTAAATTCACTGAATTCTTTTGAGACCAGGCCATGGCTAATCCAATTCTGCTTTTACAGATTGTCTCTTCCAGGAAGGGAGTGCATACTTCCAGGAGAGAGGCCTAGCAGCAGAGGGTCTGAACACAGGCTGTGGAGCCCAGAAAATAGAGGTTCAGTCCAGTTCTGCTGTGTGATACCTGGCACAAATTACCTGACCTTGAAGAGCCATGGATTTTGAACACCTAATTCATGGAGTGGCTGGAGGATTATATGAGGCTGTGTATATGTATAAGCATTTACACACAAGCATAGCTCCCTTCTGAAAGAGCACATGCAATAAAAGAATAAAAAAATAAAAAGAAATATGAAGACCATCAAAGGAATTAAAAGCATGGAAGATAATTTACCCTTTGCTGGAAAAGGCGTCTGATAACTTCAGTGTGGTAAAAGAAGAGATCTGCTTTTCATCTTGTATCTTCAGCTGTATAGGTTGTTTTACTCCCCAGAAAATGTCCAGCATTCCTTCAACAATTAGTTTCCCATCTTCAGTCTAAGGAAGAAACAAATAGACTCCATAAATGTTCTTGTAGTCCTTACAAAAGATACATGTTTTAACTGAAGATGTCGAGATTAAGTCCATAAGAAATGTTAATAGATTAGAAAATTCCCAAGAGAGATTATTTGACTTCTTAATTACTTGCAAGATAATTCTAATTTTGAAACATTCTTTCATTGTTGGAAACATCTATATCTTGAGGAATGAGTAAGTCATATTGCAATGGCATGTCCACCAGAGGGCATAGTATGTAAAAATATTTTCTGAACTCTGATTCTCAATTAAGTGAAATTCTAATGCTTTAATTCTAACTGAAAATTAAAGCGCTGAACTAAATTAAAATACTGTAGTAGAAATTAGTATAAACAGCTATTGAGAAACTTGGCAGCTGGTTACTCATTTCTAAATGAGCAAGTAGGAAGAATTTAACTCAGTTATAAGGAACAAGCAAAATTATGTGAACAAACATTAAAATGCAAAACATTATAGAAATGATACTTATAAAAAACAACAGGTTGAGGATTTAGCTCAGTGGTGTTGCCACCTGCCTCGCAAGCACAAGGTCCTGAGTTTGATCCCCAGTACCAAAAAAACAAAAACAAACAAACAAAACCCCCCCAAAAGTATTTGAATAATCAATTCTAAATTAGATATAGTATAACAACAGAAGGAAACACCATGCAAAGAAAAAAGTCAAACATGAATATATATTTTTACTGGAGATTTTTATATAAAAATATATATATTATAAGATATATATATAACAAAATATGTTTCCATGCAACTTATAGTCTAGTATAGTTTTCTCTTTTATACATAAAATGTTATTAATGTTTATTCTTATACAGACTTCAGGAAATATACAAACTAAGAAAAGTAATATGCCAATCATTCAGTAACTACTCTTCCTACGGAAAGTCAATTGTTAGGTTACATAAATGACTCTATTCTTATTTGAGAGCCCAATGAAAATCCAGACTCTCGAATCAGACCTGTGTTAGAACTCTGCCTCTGCCACTTCCTAGCTGTGACCACCTTTAAACCTGGGCTTCCTGCTTTTCAAAATGGACATCATAATGATCCCTGATTCATGGGACTTGGCAACCAGTAGGTGCTCAATAAATATTGCTGCTTGTTATTTCTTTGGCTGATAAGCCTGGGATGATTTAAAATTAGGTACATTTCTTTATAAAGAGATTGGTTATTTTATTCAGTATACTAAAATTTGGAAGGTAATTAAAATACCCAATTGAACTAAATCATTTAAGCATAGTAGTAGAAGCTAGAGTGATTTGTACATTACATTTCCTCATTTCCAAGTTTCCAACTTAAGCCAATTCGTGATGGTCTAAATGCCATGATGTGCCATCAAACTTGAAGATTTAAATCAGGAGTAGAAAATCCTAATGTTCCCTGGAGCCAGAAAGATAGTGTAAATATATGAAATGAGTCCCACTGTTGTATAAGACTCAATGAAGACATCTGTGGAGAACAAAGTATTCAAATTAAACCAAAAAGGAAGGAAAAAAAGAATAAAAAGGAAAACCAAAGGCCTCTTGCATAGTAGCATGACAGTTGCTCCCCTGAAAAACACTTTCTAGCTTCAGGAGCTTCCTGAACTATTTTTGAACAATTTAAAATTTATTCTAATTATGATAAAATGCATATTAATTTTAATAAAACTCATTCGTATTACAGATACATCATGATTTATTTGACTCATCCACTATAGGTAGAGGCTTAAAATATCTTCAAATTTTCTCCATTATGAATGATACCAAAATGAACATCCTTCTCTACACATCCTGCTGCATTTGTAAGAAAGTATTATGGCAGACTTCTAATGAAATTTCTCTTCAAAACATATTATACTTTCTTTTTAAAACAGAAAGCAAATATGTCATTAAAATTGTTTTAAAATGCTTTCCTATCTCAAACATGTTTAGAAAGTCACAGATGTTCCAGGCCTGGTATTTGGTACTACAGTCTAAAAATGAAAGTCAGAATCAAGCCAAAGACTTACCTATTTCTCCCCAGTCCTTGTGCTACCAAATTATAGATTCCAACACATCCTAACTCCTCTGTAGAGAAGAACTGTAAAATATTTTTCCCCCTGAGAATCAAACCATGTTAAATTTCTTTGGTGAGCTTACCTGTCCACATAAAATATGCAGATTTTTCTGGTTCTCATAAAAAATGTTATAGGTATTCAATAAAGAATTAAGTTGTTCCCTAAAAAAAAATTACATTCAGTTACAGTCAATCTTAGTTTTCTTAATAGTAAAAGACAATAATAGTACTTTTAGTTCATAAAGGTATGAGATAGAAAAAATGATGAATGGAATCCTTATTTCTGTCATTTTAATTTATTGTAGGTCAATGAAAATTGAAGCACACTTAGTGTTGCTAACAGACACTGGAATGCTAATTCATAAATAAAAGCTCGACAAGGTAAAACAGAGCAGGAGTGGTGATAAGAGTGTACTACAGAAGAAGGTAACCAGGACAAAATTTGGTTTCACATTTCATGTTTTGCTTTCTAACATTTAACCAACCTAAACTAAGTACTTAGTGTGTAACTGATAGGGGTGAAGCAATGGCTAAAGGGTGAGTTCTCCTTCCTTGAAATCAGATTCCTTCTGGCACGAGGACCCTAGTTCCTGCCACACCTGTCATATTACAGTGATACATGCATACTCATGTTTGTAGCAGCATAATTAATAATAGCTAAATCTTGGAAGTAGCCTATATGTCTATACAAAGATGAATGAGTAAAGAAAATGTGATGTACATGTGCACAGTGGAGTACTACTCTGTCATAAAGAAGGGTAAAATGAATGGATGCATCTTGAGGCTATAATTTTAAGTAAAGTAAATCATACACACAAGCTTAAGTATTTTGTTATTTTTTTCCATCAGAAACCCAAAATATAAACACAGAGGAAAATAAAACATAGGTAATAGAAAATAAGGAGATATATCTTTTGCAAAAGGGAAGAGGACCAAGAAATTGAGGGAGATGGGAGCAAGAGGAGGAAAAGGGGATGAAAAAGAATTAAGATGTGTTATGTATGCACACCAGTTCTCCACATAGAATCTAATCATTATGTACTACAAACATGTACTAATAAAAAATAACAATTAAAAAAAATCATTACACATCAGATCATGGGGGTGGTAGTTTTACTAAACTGAGGAACGTTAAACTTCCACATGAATTGAATCACTAGGTAAATGAATATACAGAACAAGGAAGACCCTGCAGGACGCTGAGAGTTCCTGCTCACAGTCTCTTGTGTGGAGAAAGCCAGCTGTTGAGAGGTTCCCCATATGTTGACAGGTATGTGTGGGTACAGAGTGGGGATACTGAGGAGGTCCTGGGGCTCCTGTTCTTCCAAAGCTCCACTGATTTTAATAACTGAGGACTTACCATTAACTGTCAAGTGCTTAGGTGTGCTTTTACTTTGTGTCCTGAACTGCAGCTGCTCAGCAGATGGAAATTGCTTACATTCTGATATTTCTCATGAATAATGAATTTAGCAAGAAATGAGTTCCTTAATCTTATCAGGATATGTAGCTGGCTAGAAGAGCTCATTTTTATTTTTTTCAACCATAATAAACATGGACATGAGACAGGATGATGAGTGGAAGTAAATTATCTCAATGTTAGTTGCAAAAAGAATTTTTCCTTTTGTTTTTATAATAATGAGCAAGCAACAGACACCATATTCGTTCCCTGGAAACCAAAGAACCCTGTCCTGATTTTAGTTTTTCAATTCTTCATTTACATCTGGAGTGAAACCAAGTGAGTCTTCTGTAGGACAGTCTAAATTTAGCAGCAGACCAAGTGAGGTTTTGATAGGTCAACCCCCCCATTGGTCTTATTTGCATAGGGAGGAAGCTAATCCATGAATTCTGACACAAAAGGGTTTCCCTTATCTTTGAGGCCATTGTGAGTCTCTGCTCACAGGCCTGTGCTGACCCTGCAGAGTGTACTTCTTTTCCACCTTCAATAAATATACACACTGCTACTTTTCTTTGTGTCTTGTTCAATTCTTTGTTTTGGACAGCAGGAATCTAGAAAGAATTCCCCAGGACCCATCATTCAGGAAATAGAGAAACAAAATAGATAATTGTGCAGTAGATAAATTTTGCTGGGAATAACAAATTATTGAATCTTTGATATACTTAATGATTCCTAACAATATATGCTTACTGAAAAATGTCACATGCTGTATAAGTGTAAGAAAGGTCCTCCATCACGTATCACATAATGTTCTCAGCCTTTTTGTGACATAATAGCAAATCTAGTTACCTAGTTTCTTATAATCATTTCTTTTATTTTTACCACATTATCAGATACAATGGGAATTTTTAAAAAATTATCTCCAAATAGAAAAAAAATTTCTGATTTTTAAAAAAGGTTGCTCAAAACATATTTCATACTCTTTGCCTCTGACTTATTTTAAACTCTTGACTAATTCATATATTTAAGTATATTTATTTATTTAGTACATGCTTGCAGTACATAACGTTCACATTTCTTATAAGGAGCTAGTACATGTTTAATTTGCTTCTTATTTGTACTGTATTTTGAGTTTCCCAAATAAGAGGAATCATATATTTAAGCTTGTGTATCTCATTTATTTCATTTAACATTATGATCTCAAGGTAGACCATAATTCAAAAGTTCATCTTCAGAAAGAATGGGTTTTATCAAGAAATCTAATACTGACAACTCTTACCGGTGGTAAAAGAAACCCTTCCACATTGTTGGTGGGAATATAAACCAGTATATCCACTACGGAAATCAGTATGGAAACTCCTCCAACAAATAAAACTAAGAATTTCATTTGACCCAGCTGTTCTCCTCCTAGGTAGCTTCCCCTGGGTATGCATGCATAGTCATGTTATAGCAGCACAGTTCATAATAGCTAAATTTTGAAAGTAGCCTATATTTTTGTCAGAGATGGCTTCTCTATCCTTTGTTAAAGACAGAAATACAGTGTCCTTCAGGAGAGCAATGCCTTCTCTCTACAACCTTGTCTTCAGAGCTTGCTGAGGCACAAGGCATTTACTCTTGTTCCTTTGATCAGCAGAAGACTCAGGACACAAAACCTGGGCAAAATGTGCCCTCTGGCTCCTTGAGGCAGGTTTGTTATAGGAGATAGGGTGTGGCAAAGTTGGCTGGGGAAATGAGCAGGACCTGTCAATCACATGATGCTGGGGCAACACCCACACTCAGTGTGTAGAACTTCTCTTGAGCTCCCCATGAGATGTGAGTGGCACATCCTGGAAAGCTGATATTGTGGATGTTTGTGCAGTAGTCCACACCATGTTTCTCAGATGTGGTGTGTACTTTCATTTTTGTTTTTGCCCTCTTTCTGTCTTTGGCCTAAATTTGCTCTGCAGAGCTGGTCTCTTACATATCCAGGTAACTCGAATTTTTAAAATAATCTTTTGACACCATTATTGGCTTGTTTCACCCAATTCTTTGAGGCATGAAAAACCTGGAATACTTTTGATTGGTTTCTAAAGAAACCAACTGATAACGGGTGGGAGCAGCCTCCTGAACACGACTCTTAGTGTTTAATTCATGCTTAGAGGTGCTCCTTTGTTTCAATGGAAAGTTCTGGCTAAGACGCTTCAAAAAAGAAACTATGGAATAATGCACTTTTGCTAAAATTTATTACATCATGCTAATGAAGCTTGTTTACTAAGGACAAGAATATACACATGGCTTTTGAACTGCTGTTAGAACAGGCACAGCATCAAGTTCCTAAGTGGTAGAAAATGTCTAGCAGGTTCTGAGAGAGAAATCTGATCTGGCTCAGAAACTGTATTCAAACTTCTTTTTTTGTTTTGTTTTGTTTTTTTCAATACAAGCCTGGCATTTTCTCACCTCTGAAATGCCTGGATTTCAGCCCACATCTTGAAATAAAAGTACATTGAAACCAACCACATGGAACCATTTTTTTTAGTTTAGAATATTTACCTTGTGAGGTGGGAAAACTGTGATGACTCCAGGCAAAGAAACAGCAACTGCAACCTTGCCATCTGAGCAGGAAGCCAGTCTGTGTCAACACTCAGCAGCCAAGAAGTTTCCAAGTTCAGAGAATTTTCACTCAGTAGTGAGACACAAATCATATGTCTCCTGTGGCACTATTAAGGTCTTATTTTACTTATCATATGTAATTCTCAGAAAACTTCCTGGGATCAAAATTCCAGTTCTGTAGATTCTAGTTGACTACTAATTTCTGTTATTTCCATGTATTTCTGTGCTGAAAAAATAAAACTGCCTTAATAAGTTAATGATTTCCATCTTGTTTACCACAATGCCTAGTGTAGACAGGGAGTGGGTAGTGTCTGCTAGACTTGTATGTCACAGCTGGCCAGTGACATCATTAGAACTTTTGGTGACAGTTTGCAGAGAGTTCTCCTGGCTCCAGGAAGTTTGTTTACTGTTTATGCCTGGACATCAGAAGTTCTCAGAACTTCAATCCCTTCCTCTCTGCACAGCTCTCAGATTTCAGTCAGCATCAGAATTACCTGACTGGTTCTGGGAAGGAAGTTAGAATGTGTATCATAAGCATGCATCCTGATTCTGAAGCAGGTGGAATTGCTATCTTCAAGTCTGATGTTCACAAAGTTATGCTGCTACAATATTTTACTTCACCACATGGATCCTGAGTCCCCAAAGAGGCTCTGGATTATAGAGGACAAACTACAAGTCCTTCATTCTGCCAGTTCAAAATATGACACAAAATAGAGGTCAGTGGAATCTCAGCAGCTTCATTAGAAATAATCTCTAAAAATATGTTATTTCATTGCGACATTTTTCTACAAATAATAAAATGAGGATGTGGATAGGTTCTCAAAATTTGTTAGTTTTCTTTGTCTGATTGCTAGAAAGTATTTATAAAAGTATTTTCAGTGATATAAAATTAGTTTCATATTAGGTTGTAAGGTTAACATCTATGAACGGTAACTACATTCTGGCTGAGAGCTACGGCAGTGCTGTTCAATTAATTCATGTATTGCTTTTTAAATTTAGGTCAATTCAAGATATTATTTATTGTTAATCTTCTAACTAACTTCATTTAAGTATGTATTTGTCTTGAGCAACAATATTTATGAAATCAAATATTGAATTGCTAGTTACATTTTCTGAATACTGTCCATAAATATTCAAATAAAAAGCGATCATCTGTGTCTTACAGTCATTTCATTTGAAGTCATCTCATAGACTTATCATTCTGCTGCCCCACTTTGGGAAACAGGATGCAAAATGTGCTCAGGACTTAGCTTCTAAGGGCTTACAGAGCACTTAGGAAAACCAAACATCCATGCATTAAGAAATAAAAACAAATGGGCTGGAGGCCTTTAGCTGTTGGTGGGAGAATAAACTCATCAAAATTTTTTAAAAAGCCAATTTGTAGCAATAATATTACATATATTAGGTTAATTTGGTCCTATGCTACATCTGTGAACTCTATGTGTTAAAAAACAAAACAAAACTGGAGCTATTCTGAAGATCAAAAATAAGGGAATGATAACCTTATGGTATTTCTAATTAGTGAATGCTACAGTGTCATTAAAATCATCTTAGGAAGATTTTTTTAATAGTATGAGAAAATGTTGGGAACATGCCCAGTGTGCAAAACAAGACATAGTGTGATCTCTGTTTTGTGAAACAGAATCTTTGCAAAGTGAGGAATATGTAACGTTTAAACAGTGCACTTTTTCCTGAGTGTTTGGTATACTTTTATTCTCTCAACCTACATGGTTTTAATTTTTCTCAGCTTTTTAAATTATAAAAATGTATAAAATATAATTTATAAAATAATTTTATATTTATAATTAGGAAATATTTTCAAATAAGTAAATAAGTAATATAATAAATATAAATAATATATAATATAAGTAATATAGTAATATAAATAAGTAAATAACAAGGGCTAGGTGAAATCTTACTGAGGTTCAGGGAGGGTTTCATAGGAAATGAAGACTAAGACTGGGAAACAATAAGGTGATTTGGTGACTACTAGTGTATGGATAGTTGCCTACTTCAGTAAAAAAAAGACCCAGTTCAAAAGTGTATCACTCAGGTAAAAGAAGACCTTGTGGGAACACAGAAAAGTTACCATTGGCTAGTTATGGCTACAAATGAGACTGATAAGAATCTATTTAGAACAGAACCGGAGGCTTTATCTAGGTGAAAAATGAACTTGTCTTACAGAAAATGAGATTCAAAGACCATGAAAGACCTGAAGAATAAATAGAAACACACATGCATACTGGCTGTATTGGCAGGAGAAACAAGGCCCTCAAGTGCAGACTAGTTAGGAAGGCATAGGTGCTTCTTTTTCACATTGTCTTGGGGTTTTGTCTGGGGAGGGAAGTCCTGGTTTATGGAGAGCCAGTGAGTCCAGCCAGAACAATATTGATTGCTAGAAGTCTGTTCAGAGGAGATTCCAATCTAATTATGGAAAGGTATAAAGAACTGAGAAAAGCCCTTGCCACCCAGAGAATCCATATGATAGAGAGCTGCTGTGCCATAACCAAAGGAAAGTACACTTATAAAAACTGTGGGAATCATTATGGAGTGGTACATGTATGCTTATGTTTAAAGCAGCACAATTCACAGTAATTAAGCTCTGGAAACATACAGCCTACATACCCATCAATAGACAATAGATATAGAAAGTGTAGTTTATACAATACAACTTCTATACTGGATTCTGAAGTCCACTCGACCTTCTGCTAATCCTCTTTGTGGAAGCCTATTGCTAGTTCTTCCTGGTGAAAACACTTGTTGGCTATATTTATAACTACCCTGGTGACTTTATTATTTAGCCCATGTATTTTTAACTATTTCTTTGACTTTTTTCTCCTCCAGACTCCAAGCTATAAGTCTACCCAAGACGACAATGCCTGGTACCTATCGAGGGCATTTAGATAGGTCTTCTATAAAGTAACTCTGACTGCAGATCACAACTACAGCCCTCTTCAGCTGGAAGTAATCAGAATGGTCTTCAACCCTTGTGCCCTCACAGCAGTTAGGGGTACTGCTTTAGAGGGGGGAATATCATAGATAGGTAAGTTAGTTAGATATCTTATAGGCAGTTAGACAGGGCTGCCCTCAAGGAGCCAGCCCTCCAGCAGCCAAAACAGCAAGAAGCTAACACGGAGAACAATTAAGGCACATTCACTGGTTAGCCTTATAAAAAGGAAGAGACACTACTTCCCCTAGAGAGATAGCAGTGATTGATATTCTAAATGGGAAATTCCTTTTATGTGACTTGTTTTCCCATTTGATCCCATTTAATCAATATTACCTGGGTGACTGTATTTGTAATCTTATTGGTTGGTCATGGTTTTGTCCTATCTCATACCCACCTCTTAAATTTCCATTGGATCTTTCTTATAGTTTTGTCCCACTTCGTACCTGCCTCAACACATGACTTCGCTGTATAAAACATCTTTGAAAAGTGGGGTAGGTGGGCAACCCACATTCTTGGGTTTTTTAGGGGGGGTACCAGAGATCGAACTCAGGACCTTGAGCTTGCCAGGCAGGCAGCAGAACCACTGAGCTAAATCCCTGGCCCAAACAAGTCAAAACCACAACTGTATCTTTTTTCTTTTCGTACCAGGGATCAAACTCAGGACCTTATGCTTGCAAAGCAGCCACCAGAACTACTGAGCTAAATCCCCTGCCGTGGCAACCCACTTTCTAGTTCCCCTTCTGTCTCTCTTGGACAAAAGCTTTCTTTCTCTCAATAAATTTTTCCTACTCTTAAAAAAATGTAGTTTATATACACAATGGAGTTTTATTCAGCCATAAAAAAGAATGATTTCATGTCATTTGCATGAAAATGGATGGATATTGAGCCCATAGTGTTAAGTAAAATAAACCAGACAAATAAAGTTAAATATTGCATGGTTTCTCTTACATAAAAAACCCAAAATATAAAGAGTAAAATAAGGGAGAGTTTGTAGGAGACAGGGAGGCAGATTTCTTGGAATAGGGAAGAATACCAGGGGAAGAGGGGAAAGGGAAAAAGACTTGCCTATTATCTACCACATTCACATCCTCCTGTAGACTTAAATCATCTCTAGATTACTTATAATACCTAACACAGTGTACATGCCATATAAATAGCTCTTCACAGTGAATTGTTTAGGGAATTATGACAAGAAAAATATCTGTACATGGTCAGCACAAACATAGTTTTTCTCATAATATTTCCAAGATAACACATATATAAGGAACTCACTGATGGTGAGAGCTGGCTAAAATCTGAACATACATTTATTTCTAACTCTGCTGCTGCTGCCTTGTCCAAGCCTCTGTCATCACTATCCTGAAATATCAGCTAATGGTAATTTCTCTGCTGCCATTCTTCTCCCTTCTTACATTTGTTTCTAAAACAGCAGCCAATCCGATGTTTTCACCCATGTGCTTAAATTTTTTTCCATGGCTTCTCATCTCAATTAGTGGTAATGGGCCCATCTCATAATGGTCTATGAAATCCTACATGTTCTGTCTCCTTCAATTCCCCTACACTGGCTTCTTCAACAATCATATATATGCATGTGGGCTGTGTATTTGGTGTCCTTTTTGCTAGAATGTCCCATAGGCACACACCTGCAGGTTTTTCCTCTAGGGCTATCTCTTCACAGAGGCCTTTATACAAAACTCATCTGGAACTCTCCCACTCTCTTACCTCCAGAATTCTTTATTTCCTTCTTTATTTTTATGCTTCACATCATTCAGCATTTATCTTTCTTATTGGCTGTACTTTCCCTCATAGGATGTAACCCCATTTTATTAGCTAGTCTTTCTGTTGCTGGACACAATACTTGATCCTCACAATATAAAGGAAGAGGTTTATCTTCATTCATGGTTTCAGTCCACGATCAGCTGGCTCAAACACAGAACAGGATGGCAGAAGAGTATAGTGGAGGAAAAGGTGCTTAACCCACAGTAGCCAGGAAGCAGGGAGACATGAGAGGAGCCAGGAACAAGAATACACTTTTTTAGGTCACATCCTGCAGTCACTCACCTCCAGCCAGGCCATCTCCTAACAGCACATCCAGTTACTGAACTCATCAAAAGATGAATCCCTGATCCAATCACCCTAATAACATGTGAGACTTTGGAGGGGATATTTTAGATCTAAGCTATAGATCTAAACCATAACACTCATTAAAATAAGGATTTTGTTTGGTTCCTTAGTCAATGTTCAGGGTTCAGAAGAGTACCAGTGTACAGTGAGCAGTATTTGTATTTGAGGAATGAACAGAAGAATCTTCTTTTACTTCATGTCTTCGTACCTTTATATTTCAGCCTTATCCTCCAGATGTGCCTGGAGGATCTTTGATGATATTTATTCTCTCCACTTTTCTATTGCCCAACCCTGTGTGATTTACACCTACTTCTCTATCATTCAGCTTTATTTTCTTTCCCATCCCATGTATGACTTGGGTCATATTTCAGTATCACTGGATTTTTTTTTTTTTTTTTTTACTATTTTATCATTTCTTTCCCCAGCTCTGGTTGTAGCTTGGCCACATTCAGTTCTCACTTTCACAGTTTTTAAAACTCTACTCAGGTATTTATTTCCAAGGAAACGTAAGGTGTTATTTATCATGTATAAAGAAAACAGTGGAGAATTTTGGCCATATATTGCATAACGTATTATCAAGAGGGAAACATTAGAAATATAGTATGCCATGAAGAGCAAAGAAAGGAGCAGTCAGAAAAGAACACACTGTTATTGGTCCCTGGACTAATTCTTTGGCTATATTGTACCTGAGGGGCCATAGATCCTTCACTTAATCCTGCTCTTTAGAACTGTTGCAAAAATTAAAAGAGAAATACAGCTTTGGAAATCAAACCACTACTAATGAAATATGAGTGACTGTTCAATGAATATGGGTTAGTAGTCTCTAGGAATTCAAAACTTCTTATCTAGTGTCTCAACTGGTGATTCATATTATTGATCTTGATCATGTATCATGCTTAGAAATGCTCAATAGTATATTCCACAAATGACTGGTGAGTAGGATAACCTAAGTTTGTAATTACCTGGTTATGAATGTCCTGTCATTGATGAAAACCCAAGAAGGGTAGGGCTGAGCCATCCTAGTCATCTTTCCCTCCTTTTCAAGATGGTCTGAAGATACCCTAAACAGTAGAGTTACATTAATAATTTTTTTCCCTTGGATGCAGTCAAAACTTTTCTTATTTAAATTGAATATTTCGTTATTTTAAAGGTGCGTACCAGGGATCAAACTCAGGACCTTGCACTTGCCAGGCAGACGCAGCACTACTGAGCGAAATCCCCAGCATATTTAATTATTTCTCTAGTGCATGAGAATATCTTCGGGTGCTTTCAAGTGATATTTCATGTGTGAGCAAAATAGAAAAATTTATTGTGTAAACCGAAAAGCTACAGATACAATGAATCAAAGCAAGGAAAAGACTGGACAACTTGGTAAATCTATTTCTGATGCATTTCTAGAAAGTTTGCTCCCATATGAAGTGCTGCAAGGGATCATACTTCTGCTATTGTAGCAACTTAACTAAATGTTATTGGGCCCTGCCCTAGTTATCTGAACATAATTTTAGTTTTCAAGCAGCTAAAATCAAGCTCTGCCTTGAACGGTTGATTAAGGTTGTTATAATACCCTTTAAGTCTTCTTTGGACTCTCGAAATATAAATGGCATTAGAGTGCAATCAAAATTTTAAGCATAACGTTTTCTGGTTATTCTATGCCAAAGAGCTTAAATATTTATCATTGTTCTAAACGTATACAATCATAAGGAATGTAGACAAAATACAAAGACTGGAGAGAAAAGTCAAAGTCAGTTTTCCAAAAAAAAAAAAAAAGTATGTGTGTAGCATGTCCTTCTTTTGGGAAAGATGAGTGGAAGACACTTTATATCTTAATTATTTAGGACACCAGGAAGAAAAAAAGAGAATAAATATTCTGCTACTTTCACAAAATCCCTAATGCCTCTCTTTTTCTTATAGTACTTTGTTAATCTTACTAGCATCTTCTATTAGTACCTAGGCTTAATACTTCACTGGAACCTCGTTTTATGTTTTTATCATTCTGACCATCACATCAACTCCTCAGCCTCAAAACTTGGGATCTCATTCTTAGTAAATGTAGCATATGTCCTTTAAACATATTTAGGCTTCAAAAAATTCCACCAAACCTGTCCAAACAAAATTGAAGCATTATTTTCAACTCTAGGCCTATACTCTAATGAAATGTCATATCATTGAGTCTCCTTTCATCAATTCCCCCTGAAAAGATGGTTATTCCTGAAAGTCCAGCTCTCTGCTTCCTTCCAGGCTTCACTCAATGGAACCTCTTTAAGTCTTCCCATAGCCTTTTTATCTGCACTGTTATACTTTTATTTCATGCTTTTCACCACCATTACTGATTTATGCCTTACTTCCTGTTGCACTGTTATCCACTTGCTCAAATCACAGTGCCCCTCTAGTTGAGTGGGTCATCCTCTTTTATAACATATTGTTGGTAAAGGATCTGCCAGAGTAGCCCAAGTAATTTAACCCAAGTACCTCTACTAGTCAGAAGGCACATGGGCATTTTAGGCTGTCCTGGAACAGAGACTCAGCATGTTCCATTAGCCCAACAAATCTCACTTCACAAGATTTGCTCTGGAATGTCTAGCTATACAATTCTTGCTTTAGCTTCTTAATACATGAATTTTGTCCCTAAATATGTCACACTAAATAATCCAAAGAAGAGAGTTATAAATGCCCCATAGCAAGGTCTCCATTGATGATCCTGGGTCCCCACCACTACCTTCTGCTTCCCAGACCTTGATTATTTACCTCCTATTCCTTTACCCCTCCTTGCTCCACTCCTCCCACATTTCAATGGCCTATACCTTGCCAAATAGTTCATTTTCTGTCTTGTAGTGGCTTTTGATAAGATTGATATTTTTCTCCTTTCAAACACTTTCTTCATGAGGCTTTTGAGGCAATATAGCAACAGTAAACTTGCTCTATTTTCTCGCCATCTTGCAAGTCTCTTTATTTTAGTCTTTTGCTCACATCTCTCTATGATCTCTAAATGCCGACTGGTTTGAGAGTTTACTCCGTTCTCTATCTATACTTGTACTTTTTTCCAGGTAAGTCATTGTGTCCACAGCCTGCCTCTCTGTTGAGTTCTAGACTCATGTCAACACCCATTTAATCTCGATATAGGTTTCTAACAGGTATTTTAAAACCACCACAGCTGATAAAAGAACCACTTTCTCTCATGATCCAGAATTCAGTCTTCTACAATTCTTTCCCATCTACATAATCATGCTCCAAAACTAAGACTCAATTTTCTCCTTTATCATAAGAATTCCACTCCAAGAACGTCCTACTAATTTCACTTTGACTATATAACCTGAATTCAAAAGCTTTCTTACTGCTACCACCCTATGCCAAGCCAGCATCTTCCTCCTGGTTTACCGTATCAGCCTCCTAATTGATTTCCCTGTGCTATGGTTTGTTTGCATTTCCAAAAATTCATACATTGAAACCTAAATTCCAAGGTATTAAGAGGTAGGAACTTCAGGAAATGATTAGGTGATGAAGGCGGAGCCATGATGAATGGGATTATGTCCCTTATAACAGAGATCTGAAAGAGTTGTTTTGCTCCTTCCACCATGTGAGGATGCAGACAGTAGGCCCTCACCAGATACTGGGCACATTGTAAACTGAAGAACCATCAATGGAAGCTTATTATCATCAGAAAGTGCAAACTGGCTGTGATGGGATAAGGAATCACTGCAGATGCTTTACAATCAGTTCCCTCTCTTTTCTTTGTATCAATAAAAAAATCAGACATAGCTAGGGATTTAGCTCACTGGTTCCGGTGCCTGCCTTATAAGCACAAGGACCCGAGTTCTCTCCCCGGTACCAAAAAAAAAAAAAATCAGATATAATTAAAAAGGTGCAAACTATTGTCAAACCGGTAGTCTATGTTAAAATAAATCACAGCCAGCTTCAGAAGACTGCAGAAGAAAAGGCTTTCAAAGATCTGCATATTCTCTGATTTTAGGAAGAAAGATATTTGAATGGAATTTGAGAGAAAATGAAAACAGGAAAACAATTTTATCCATAGGCAGTATATTATAATTGGTTAGGGAATAATATTGACGATGTCTGATCTAAAAATTGTCTACAATTATCATACAGTTTTCAAATACCTAAAAGGTAAGAAAAGGATTTGGTAAATTCTCATTGGTATTATTAATTGTTGAAGCGAGGCATAGATCTATGAATTCAAATAGTTTCCCCTCCCTATTTCTCCATTCCTACTCACCATGACTTATAAATTAAAACCTGGTAGAGTTCTTCTGAAAAATATAAGATATTGAGACTTGGTAGATTTAAGAGTTTCATTTAGTTTTCTCAAAGGCTTAAGAATATTATAACAGAGAGGTCACAAATAGCAGAGATGAAGAGGACTTATGAAGAGGAAAAACTACAAGTCTTTCATGGTCTTTCTTTGGATGTTAAGTTCTTTGGTAAGAAAGTAATAAACCATGACAAGAATGAAGATGGTTGCTACAAACATATGTACTTTGGATGGTGAAGCATAGTCAATAATAGGCCTTGGAGCCAGAGGTCATTCACATATATCATATACAAATTAAGACCACTTAGTAAGTTTCGTTATTTACTTTTCATTTTTCCCTGATAGAATGTAGCTCAAGAGTCAGGGGATTTGTCAGGTTAGCAATGAAGTCCTGGATAAATAAACAACACTGGAAAAGCTAGGCAGGTCTAAGACAGAAAGCACAATAGTTCTGAGCATGCAGATGGGATCTGGTGCCTGAGGAAGCAGGAACATAGTCCCAGTGTGTGGGCAACTCAGACAAAACTGAAGCATTAATGGTTCTCCTTCCTCTTGTAGTGTTCCTGCTTATACGTGGGCTTGTCTAGACCTGTTAGTTATTGTGATGAGAACAAGCCCAGAGGACAGGAGGAGGTGAATTCAATCCCAAATGAATTCACATGAGCCAGTGACTTAAAATACCATCAGTGCCCAACCAGAGGTTACTGTATTTAAACGTGGAAAATTTACCTCACTTCTTTGAATACCCAACAAATATTTCTTGAGTTCCTTCTCTGTGCTGGCTACCATGCTATGCACAGGAAGCTGGTATTTATATCTACAGCATCCTGTTTCTGAAACATGAACTGTCACAAGGATCAGAATTTTACAAAGAACCAGGAAAAAACCCAAAAAGAAAACAAATGCTAACTTCCCAGAATTTCTTTTGCACAGGAACTGTCACAGCAAATTATCTGTAGCTTTCTAATTACAGTGGTACCTTGAACTTAATTCATTCCGTGATTCTGGTTCTCAACTGAATTGGTTGCAAACCATATCAAATTTCCCCATGAAGTTCAATGTAAATAAGATTAATTGTTCTGAACCATATGTATATTTTTAACCACAAAAATATCTAACCTTGCTTGAGGTGACTTCTGGTGTGGAAGACAAGATGGTGGGTGGGGAGAAGGTTTGGAGGGAGATTTCCTTCAGGAGTTTCCTTTCTTCTTTGTCTCTTACCTGCAGGGTCAATTTTGATGAAAAATTTGTCTAATGTCATGTTTTTTTCCTGTACTACATAACCCTGGGGAAATGAGAGACCATGTTATTTTTCTTCAGATTCAACACTGTTCATTACAAATATGTTGGGCTGGTGCTTCTAAAGAAATCCCAGGACTCATTCCATTTCTCCATAGTGGATTTTATCACATCACTGCTAACCACCTCCCCATCTTTCTCTTCCTCAGTGGAGTGCTCCTCAATAAGTGCCTTGTGCTGGTCACTCTGGAGTTCAGCAAGTTCTTCCATTATCAGCTCTTCCTTTTGGTCCTCAACAAGTTCCTCTATGTCTGCACCATCAATGTCCCGACCCATACTCTTACCCATGGACACAATCTCCTCCACTACCTGCGCATTAGACCCTTCAATGTCACCTGCAGTGACACATTCTGACCACAGTTTCCTCTAGGCTGAGTTTAGGTTTGGTACATGACATCTTCCCAGGCTTTGTCAATGAAGTTGATGCAGTGGAAGACATTGAAATGTTTCTTCCAGAACTCTTTCAGTCAGCAAAGTCTCTTCAGTGACAAAACATCTGGTGAAGAGCACCTTTGTGTAGAGCTTCTTAAAGTTGCAGATCACTTGGTGGTCCATAGGCTGCAGAAGAGGTGTCCTGTTGAGGGGAGGAACAGTGGGTACAAACACTTTGTGCAGCCATTCCGTGAACAATTGCTTTGTGACTCAACCTTTCCCATTGGCTCTCCACATGACAGGTAGTCTGGCCTTGTTCACATTCTGTTCCTCGAATGCATGATGGGGCTGGGAATGGTGCACTAGTCCTGGCTTAATCTTCAGATCGGTGCCTGCATTCACACAGAGCAAAAGGTTCAACCTATCCCTCATGGGCCTGTGCCCCAGCAGTGCCTTTTCTTCCTGAATGTTATAGGTTCTATTAGGCATTTTCTTCCAGAAGAGTCCTGTTTCATTGCAGTTGAACACGTGTTGAGTGATGTATCCTTCCACTTTCATTAATTCTGCATTCTTTCTTGTAGGTTTCTGCAGGATCTTTGTCAGAAGTGGAAGACTTACCATATCTTTTTAAAAAATTAATTTTATTGGTGTATTTTAGATATACATAATGATCACATTAATCATAAGGAATTTGTACCTATGCATAATATATCTTAATTCTTCTTTCTCCAATCCTCTCCCCTCCCTTCAACCTCTCTTCTCCTTATTTACACAAAATTTGTTTCCATTTTTCCTATTATTTTTTCTTTTCCATTCCTTCCTTTCTCCCTCCCCCTCCCTTGTTCCCCTTCCCATTTAAACATTTTCTTCCTATTTCCAAATGTCTATTATACATTTTGAATTTTATTTACCCTTTTAGTTTTTCATACTATGTCATCACAGAATGGATGCCACTTCACTTGCAGAATTTATTAGACCACCCTCTACTGGCTTTAAATTCATCACGTTGCACTTGTAGAGGGGTTTCCTTGCAGTAAATTACTGTGCAGTTTTCTGGCTTTTTCACAGATAATAGTTTCACCAATGCTATTACCTGCCAGCTATTTCTCATTTAACTACACTAAAAAGTTTTTCCTCCTCTTCCAGCACTTGTGTCTTCTGCTTGATTAACATCTTTACTCCTTTTGCCACATCAGCTCCTTTGATGGCACCTTTATTCTTCAAAATACTCAAGATTGTGGACTTCACCATCTTGTACTCTGAGGCCAGATAAGTCACATGAATACCCCACGCTCATGCTTTTCTACAATTTCCTTCTTCAATTCAATGGCTATTAAATCCTGCTCTGCACTTTCTTGTTACCTTCATTACTCCTCTGCTCATTCTTGTCACCTTCATTATTCCTCTACACATTCTGGTTACATTCATTACCACTCTGCACATTCTTGTAACCTTCATAACTGCTCTATGCTTTCTTTTTACCAGAATGATTGCTCTGCACTTTCTTTGGAGCCATCCTGGATTGAATAATACTGTAGAGTGCTATATGTGCTAAAAAGCACACAAAAAAATCTTCACAGCAAGTGTGCACAGGTCTGTGACCACAATCTCAACTAGAGGAAGCCAGGACCACCTGTCAGAGCAGGGAAGATGGCCACAGTCGTTGTTTGTCATCTGATGCAGACTTCAGGAATGGAAGCAAAATTTTGCCAAATGTTCTTGTGTACCAAATTGTTTAGGAAGAGATACATTTGTGAACTGAAGTGTTATTGTACTTACAGTTTTCTTTCTCTAAACATATTTTATTTTACTTAATTTGACTATTAGGTCCTTTAGAAACATATTATTGTTATTTCATTTTTGTGTATTCTAGAGTAAATGAATATATACAGATGTAAAATATTTAATATTTGTTATATAGGAAACAAAATATTAACAATAAAATTAAGAGCTATAAAAGCATGAGTGAGTTTGTTTGCTTTCATATGCATTATTTTAAATCATACGCAAGGGACTTTTTTATCACATGTATACCCTGAGTAAATGTAACTAAAACAAAGAAATATTACATTAGAAAAGCAAGTGGGTATTCTATGGTAAGATTATATCAAAGACTGTTTCCTTTAAATAAAATATTCTATAGTCTGAAGAAACTATGGAAAGTTGCAACTATGCATTCATTCCTAAAACAAAGCTCTGAGTTGGAACCCTAGAATACAGAAGAGAAGACCCATATGCAATTACAACACTTGGAGAAATGAGAGAAAGCTACACACCATTAATAATTCCATCCCTATCTAGTTTATAAAAGAAAGGAAAAAGAGTTAAAGGAAGAGTTACTTCTGGGGAACATTAGGCCCCATATTTTTTTCTAAATAACGTGCTTTACTTGCTAGACTGAGAGTTGAGGTATAAAAACTACCACTTTATAAAGTGATGTTGGTTGCATTAGGAATTTTTGTCTGGGGATACAAATAAAAATGTATTTCAATTCCTGAATTTAAGACAAGATTAAACAGAATATAGATCAAACAACCAGACTTGTATCTGAACATACAATGGGTATAAGTAGAATCTCATTTGAAATGCCAAGCCTCTAGTATTCTACTACTATACAATGTACTTTATTTGGCCCAGAGTGCCCCAGGGGAAGTGAGGAAAGCAGGACCAGATGGAGAAGTAAATTGTGATCAAGCTGCTTAAGGACTTAAGGCATTTTGCCACCCCTCAGTCTGGGACTGAGCTGATCTTCTGCAATCATTACTATGGTGGAGCTCAAGGATTCTCTGCCTCAGGTGAATTTCCAAGAAGAAATTCTAAAAGTTGACTTCATATAATTCAATTTTCCTGTTCCTATATCGGTTGTAAAAAGAATCAGCACCTTTTCTTTTGGGATCCATTTACTAGGCTCTGGGTGATGGTACAGAAAGTTTTCCTTTAAGCCTCTAAGCTTCTAGGATAATATTCTCATGACTTAAAGAGGAGGCATCTCCATATTCTACAATCAGCATTAGCTAGTCTGGTATTTAGGTCTACATATGGGAGTGATAAGGTCTCTAACAGTTGATAATTATAGGCTAATTTTTGCAAAAGAATAGTTCTCTAAACCTAGACTTTAGTGTAAAGAGAGAATGTTGAGAAGTGCTTTCTCTGAGTGTTTTGTTTTTGTTTTGGTACTGGGGATGGAACTCGGGACCTTTTGCTTGCGAGGGATGGAATCACTGAGCTAAATCCCCACCCCCTTTCTCAGAGTGTTTTGATTGGTCTATACCTGAATATTTTTAAAAATCTCAACTTTTATATGAAGCTCTTGTATTGGTAGCAACCCTAAATTCACGTGCAGTGTAATCAATGAATCTGTACAAGTAAATGAACTGTTAACATTAGGTTTCTTTTTCAATTAAAAGATGCTTCTTATTTTAGAAATTTAAAACCAAAGTCAGGTATAAAACTTTTAATCACATGTTGAAAAGACATGTAACACATGAGTATTAAGAATATAGCTGGAAAAGTTAATTTTTTTAGTCATTGTTAGTTATTTCTCCTTGATCCAAACATTTAATAGGTTTGTTATAAGGTGTTATACTCATCAGAGGTAGTAGAAAAACTTATGTGTATACTAAAATAAAGTTTAACTAGGAAGACTTACACATAGTTACATGATTAAATAATCTCAATATTAAATGTTTAAGTAGATATATTTCATTTGGGGATACTGTTCTTTATATACATACATAGTTATTAAAAATATAAAAGCAAATGATTTAAGATGTTCAGCAATATATATTCAACATAAAAGTGTATTTCCTCTTTGAAAAATATTGTATTCTAATTTATTCTAAATCAGTTTATTTTATGTTTTATCTAATTACACTAGCCACTGTTCAATCCCAGGGTATAATAACACTGTAAAGTTCAGTCATTTGGCTTCAGAATTCCACCCATAAATCTCCAGGCAATATCTAATAATAAATATATTTCAGAACCTCAACTCAACAATTTGAAAAAAAGAATCAATTGAAATCATGTCAAGTTAGGATCAACTGCGAAACATTTAAACATATTAATACAATTTAAAATAAAATGGCATCAATGTAAATTACTAGTCATAGATATTAAGTTGTCCTCTGCTCAAAGCTAGCAATATTAGTAAACCTAAGCAACATTCAAAAAATTGTCATTAAAAAAAAAAAAATCACAAAATTAGGCCATTTCCCTGTAATTAAGTTTAAGAGGAAAAAACCGTTTCTTGTACATAAACACAAAAGTCAATACCATTTTAAAGTCACTCAATATTCATACTCTACGTATTTGAAAAGTGGCAAAAAGCCAGGGGATTTTATTCCTCCCCACCTGCCACCTGTTGAATGCTTTGGACTCCCTTTCTGTAAACCGGTCTAATCCAGCATAATTCCTTCTACCTAGCTCAGCTCACTCTGGGCTGATCCATCCCCTCAAGCCTAAGAGGCAGCATTTATGGAACACCAGCTTTCTGTTTAGTCCCATGAAAGACCTGTGTGACAAATCACATTATGATGGTTGGTTTACAGACAACAGACTTTGAGTCTTACATAAGTTAAGCAACTTTCAAGTGGTAAAAGTACAGAAAGTGGCAGAGATAGGATTTAAACCCATGGTCTCCTGCTTGGAAATTAGTTTTTCTTAACACATGGACCTTATTTAAGTATTTATGATGATTTCATTGTTTGGTGAGGCCTTAAATTATATCCATAACTCTTTTTAACCACTTGGGGGTGAGCTCTCTGCTGCTCTGTAGAAACGAATAAAAATTTACCTGAACCCTCAAAAAGACTCTTCAGATCTGATGAATTCGACACAACACTATAACCATAAAATACTCAGAGAAAGGGATGTCATGTTTGAGTCTAGCGCTTTTGCAAGGATCTGTTCCAGGCACAATTCCAGCTGAGGGCTCCCTGAACCATTCAAGTGGAGAAAGAAGGGGGCCTCACTCTCTTCCTACTTCCTCACCCTCCCCAAGGCTTACCTGAGTCAGGAAAGGAAATTGTGAGAAAATCAAAACGAAAAGAACGCCCTGGGCCTTGCACCTGTGTAACTTTGCTGCCTCTAGATCCTGCCTTCTGAAACCGCAACAGGGACCCTAAGGCAACAGTGACTCCGAGTCTCCAGCCTGAGGGCACCTAGAGAGCTGCGGGGCGGACCTGACGAGGAGGAGCCCAAGAGGGCCGGGCCGCCGCAGCCAACAGTGGGGGTGGGGTGTGGCGGGCTCTGACTAACCCGCTCAAGTACGACTGGCCTGCAGGGCGGTTCCGTGCTACCGGGCTGGCCCGGTTCTAATTTCTTTTCGGTTCTCCATGTACCTGGACTATAGGTCAGTGGTGTGTGAGACTAAACTAAGACTAAATGTCACTGTTCTTTTTTTTTAAAAAAAGTCTCTCAATTTGAAATTTCTGCTGGTCCTTTGCCACCATGCTCCCACAGGCACCGTGGCACGGTTCCCAAACCTCCGGGTCCCACCCCACGCACAAGCGCGACCTAGCGGGGCTCCGACCAGGGCCTCCAGGAGCTCAGCCGAAGAAGCTGATAGACAACTGCAGTGAAGTACCACAGAGGAGACAAGTAACAACTTGGGTGCCATCTGTTGAATTGGACGTAGGGACTTGGCTTTTCCTCAATACCTCCAATTTCCAAAGGGGCAACAAAAATCCTCAGATTTTCAGCTGAGAAATCGCACAGAAATACAAAGTGCTCTTATTTACACACACACACACACACACACACACACCCCCACACACCCACGCGCTGTTTAGTGTCATTGATACTTCCTGTTTCCTAGGTAAAGCAATTAACATATTACAGACCGTCCTAGCTGGTAGAACTGACCTTTGGCTGATGACTCTGAGAACCTGCAGTGTTTACAGTTCCTGGCTTCCAGAATGTTTTGCAGAAACCTGCACTCCACTCCCATTGTCTGTACTCTTAAGGAATCCTTTGTTTATTATGTTTGGAACAACATTGCTTTTCTTTCTTTTTCTTTTTTTCTTCACATTTCAGCAGAACTGACTTTACTTTTTTAGTATTAGTGCATGTTTACAGTACATGATGTTTACATTCCTTGCGTGCAGTTGGCACATCTGTCTTAGTCTCCTTTTTTGTTCCCTTTCCCTCCCCTCTTTTCCAGTCGATCTCTTGGTCCCCTTGACAAAGCTGTCTCTCCTATTGTCTTTTTATTTCGCTCTTTATTTCTATTTTGGGTTTCTCATATAAGAGAAACTGATATTTAAGAGTCTGTGGTTTATTTCAGTTAACGTTATGTTCTCAAGATGCGTCCATTTTTTAATCTGCAGGCTTCTTTGAAGGCTTATTCTGATCATTGCCTTCCAACTGGTTTACTTTCATTAGAGGCTCAGGGACTTCTGGGATTTTGAGTGCTTTACCCGTAAATATTATTTGTAAATATGCTATTTTATTTTATTTTATTTTGTAATATAAAAAGTATATAATTGTGCAAGTCCAATGTGGAAAATTTGGAAAACACAGAAATGTTGAGTAAATTACCTACAATTCCATCTCTCAAACATAATTAGGAAAACAATTTGATGAATTTCTTGACATTTTCTCTGTGGATATTTACCAAAATGCTATTACATTGTTTGTAGTTTTACAATTTGCTTTTTATCACATAAAAGATATTTTGAACAATTTACTATGTGTCAAGTTAGTTTTACTTTTCTCAGCCATAGACTTTTAACTACCTGAGCTGGATTACACAGTGTGTGTGTATATATATATATATATATATATATATATATATATATATATATTATCAGTTCCTTATTGTGAAAAAATTATATTGCTAAATAACACTGCAGTATGTTTATATAACAGTGTGCACAACCAAGATTATGACTTTTAGATATATTTTAGATATTTTAGATATATTTTAGATATATTTAGATATATAGATTATGACTTTTAGATATATTTTAAAAAGTGAAGCTCCATATAAAAGGAAATATGAACTTTTAAAATTTTCTCTCCTAAAAAATGTCTGGTTAATTTTATACTTGTATGGCAACAAACATGAGTTATACTTTTTCTAAATACTAATTTTTCTTTTCCTTTGGTACCAGGGATCAAACTCGGGACCTTGTGCTTTCGAGACAGGTGGAGGAACCACTGAGCTAAATCCCTGGCCCAATACTTACTAATTTGAAAGGTTAAAAAATCCAAATCCTCTTTTAAATACATACTGAGTACCTATAAGTTTGAATACTTTCTTTAAACTTACCTCGTAGTTTTGCATTTTTTTTTAGTTTTGCATACTTTTTGCTCATCTTTTTCTTTTTGATTTATAAACTGTCTATATATTAAGCATACCAGCTTTTCTTCATATATGATATTTTCCAGGTTGTTTACCTTTTAGTCTTGTTTATGGTATTTTTGACAATAAGTTTCAAACTTTGAATAAAGTGTACTATTTTTCTTTATAACTTATACTTCAGCTTTATAAAAGCTTTTCCACCATTTAATAAATATTATTTTTTGATGTTATTTATTCATTTAAATTAACATTTCAACTTATCTGAACTTTATTGTGTTAAAAACCGGGAAATTTAAATATAACTCAAATTTTCTAAACTCAGTGTTGTGGGTAAAAGAACTGAACCAGTTAGATGTCAGATGTGACTAGTCCATGGTCTTACAACATCTAGGAATCTAGGAATGAAGTTGAGAAATAAAGGAGGAAGTTAGGAGAGTTTTATTGGAAATTAGGAGAAGAAGAATAGTTCCTGGATTTCTGGGCAGGGTCCCAAGTGGGTGGTCACTGAGGCTCTTTGTCAGGCGTAATTTACACAGTGAAGTCACAACGTGGTACAAGTAGGCTAACCTACAATCAACCTATAGAATTACAAGTATAGTCATTTAGCTAATGTTGACCCAATAGGAAAACGAGTCAGGTAGCAAGGGTGGATGGATAGATCAAAAGAATTCTCAGAAAGGGAGGGGATTAGGAGTCCAGCTGTTCTATTACCCACCTATGCATTTAATGCCTAGCTGGGCCTTTGGACTAGGTGGTGCTAATTAAAGAATCTCAGGTTGCTGTTCATCTCTAGGCAGGGGGAGTTTGCAGGCGTGGGTATTATAAACCAGAAAAAATAATTAGTTTACCATATATGTTTAGATAGTTTTCTGGGCTTTCTGCTCTGCTCCATTGGTCTATATTTGTTTTTTATGCCAGTATCACACTGTTTTGATCATTACAGCTTTATTTTAAACCAAAATATGTGATGCCTCCAATTGTGTTTTTCCCTTTCAGTATAGCTTTGGCTATTCAGGACTTACGTGGTCCCACAAAAAGTTTTGGATTTTAAAAAATTTCTGAGGAATGCCATTGGAATTGTGATAGTGATTGCATTAAATCTGTACTGTACTGCTTTGGGTAATAGGAACATTAACAAAATTTTTAATTCTTCAGATTCATGAACACAGCATATTCTTGCATTTATTTATGTCTTCTTTAATGTTTAATCAATGTTTTATAATTTCCATGTACAAGTCTTTCCTTGTTCAAATTTATTCCTGCTCCTAAGTATTTGCCTTTCTTGAGGCCGTTGGTTTTTTTGTTTGTTTGTTTGGTTTTGGTTTTTTGGGATTTTTTTTGGTACCGGGGATCATCGAACTCAGTAGGGTCCTTGCGCTTGTGGGAGCAGGCAGTGAAACCACTAAGCTAAATCCCCACCCCGAGGCCATAGTTAATTGTTTTCTGGATTTTTTAAAAGTAGGTTGTGTAAATAAATGCTACCGAGTTTTGTATGTTGATTTTTCCATTCTGAAACTTTAGTAAATTTCGTTTACTAGTTATGACTGTGAGTGTGTATGTGTAAAATATTTGGGTTTTTCTAGAAATAGGATCATGATACCTATAAATAGAGATAATTTTGCCTCTTCCTTTCTGATTTTGACATCTTTTATTTCTTTAATGGTCCTATTGCTCTTGCAAGTGCTTCCAGTACTATGTGGGATAGAAGTGAGAGTGGGCATTCTTGTCTAATACTGGATCAATCTTACTGGAAAAGCTTTCAGGTTTTCTGTGTTAATTATAATGTTAGCTATGGGATTTTATAAATGACCTTTATTATGTTGAAGAATTTTCTTTCTATACCTAAACCATCCAGAGTTTCTATCAAGAGAACATACTGAATTTTACCATATGTTTTTACTAAATCAATTGAGGTGTTCAAGTGGTTTTATCTTTAAATCTGTTAAAGATATAACACATTGATTGAATTATGTTAAACTAGCCTTATCAGGGATAAATGTCTCTGGGTCATGATGTATAATCTTTCTAATATGCTGTTAGATTTGATTTGTTAATATTTTGAAGATTTTGCCTCAGTGTTTATCAGAAATACTGGCCTGTTTCTACATGCCAAAGACTAAAACTAAATCCATGTCTCTCACCATGCACTAAACTAAAATAAAAATGGATCAAAGATCTAAATATTAAAACAGAAACAGTAAATCTGCTGAATATAGGGTATAGGCAAAGACTTCATCAAACTGATAGGGAAATAATACAAAAAATCAACAACTGGGATCTTATCCTACTAAAAGGCTTTTACACAGCAAACAAAAATCACCAGCAGAATGAAGAGATAAACCACAGAGTGGGAAAAAAATTGTAGCCAGTTGCTCCTTAGACAAAGGACTAATATCTAGAAAAAATACAAAAAATCACACCCCCACAAATTTAAAGACTCAATCCAAAAATGGGCATCTGAAATGAATAAAAACTTCTCTGATGAAGAAGTACAGATGGCAGTGGTTGCACCAGTCTACACTCCCACCAGCAGTGGAGCAGGGTTCCTCTTTTCCCACAGCCCCACCAGCATTTGTTATCCCTTGATTTCATTAGAGCAGCCATTCTTTCTGGTGTGAGGTGGAATCTCAGTGTTGTTTTCATTTACATCTCTCGAATGACCAGTGATGTTGAACATTTTTTCATGTATTTATTTGCTATTTCTACTTCTTTGTGTGAGAAAT